AAAAAAAAAAAAAAAGAAAAAAAAAATAAAAGGGTTAAGAAGGAACAGTGACAAATTATGAACATAATTTTCTTAATCATCATCAAATATAACATGTATATTGTATAAATATATACATTGTACATTAACTTTTTTCTAATTAGACAGTGCATTTGCATTTCTATATTTTATTCATTAATAATATTATTTGCAGTTTCAAATTGCTATTATTAAAAAATTAATATCTTTTTTTATATTACATAGCATGTAATATTATTTTTCTTTTTTAAACCAATATGTCAATCAAGCAAAACTAGAAGAGACAAATACCTATAGCATATATTACTTAAAATTAAAATTAATGTTTATTTTACTGTTTGAGAATTATCATCAGATTGAATGTTGAGAATAAAGAACGGATCTGTGGGGTTAATTGTAATATAAGTACCTTGTAAAAGATATCACATGTTATAATTGTAGAGTACTATAAACTGTTACAGTCTTATAGCTGTATTAAACATATTCATTGAAACCTCGTTAATTTTTTCGTTTTGTATTTGTACAAGTAAAATTTTAAGGCAATTATTCTAAAATAATGCAAGTATGATATATATAAACAGTAGCCTTAAAATTCAACTTGATAAAGCGTCTTAGAAGAAGGTGCTATAATTTCAGTTTAAATCGTATCAAATGAAAGAAATGCTTTGCGAATTCTATTCATATGGAAGTGCGCCGAAGGGGTTCGCATTTTTTAATATTATAGTTTTGATGCAAACAAAAGCTACAGAGCTTAACTAATATGAATGAAGAATTGATAAATAACAGTGTAGGAAGTATCCTATAAATTAATATATATTTATAAATATGTATATGATTTAAAATCTTGATTAAAATCATATTGATCGATGTTCAAATTTTTAAATCTATTATAAAAAATTGCTGAAATATCATGTGCGTAATTTCAATTAGTTCCTTGCAACATATTTTCGTTTAATTTATATTGTTTGCTACATAAAAGTTGCGGCAGCCCTAGCTCTTTAGCGCTAATCCATTTCGCACACTCACATAAAAAAATGGATTCCTTTAAACATTTTGATCTTGCATTGGTCCAGTTGGCATTTGTTATAAATTTTATCCACTTAATTAGAATATTTGAAATGAATGAAACAGAAAAGGATTTTGTAGACCAAAGCATTTTTTAGTCTGTGATATAAAATGAGATATATTACTTGTATTAATATGGAAGAGTGTGTGTGAAGATTTTTTTTTGATAGAAATGACTTCTTGACATGAGGGAATGCTTTCGGCCGTCTCTTTCGTAGAAGGTAATCGAGATTGATGATCTATTTAAAAGTTCGTAAGATAAAAGTAGTAAATTAAGTAATGTTATATCTCTTTGTAGACAAAGAAAGAGAGAACAAAAGAAAGATAAAGTAGAAAAATCAAATTGGAAAATCTGGCAATTTAATTTAATAAAACATAATTTTTTTTGTATTTTTTAATAACTTGCAAAAATATTTTTTTTATATAATTTCCTTCCACGATTTTCAAACATCCTCTAATATGTTTTGCAAAAATATAAAAGAATCATTTTATATCAAATATCAGAAATATTTTATTTTGTCCAATTTTAAATATACAAGCAGTAATCTTTATAATAAAAGAAAAAAGAATACTGCTGTGAAAATAAAACATTTTCTATCAATGTTATCTAAAATAAATCTTGTACATTATAGAAGAGACATATCTTTATAGATATTATAATAGAAAGCATATGAAATATATTGAAAACATATGGAATAAATATTTCTGTCATTGTTAAATTAAAATTCCATACTTCTAGAAAACAAGCTTCTTTTATAAATGATTAGATTTTATTTAATAAAAGTAACTATAGATTTGGACAATATTTAAACATTAAAGATGAAATAAGTAAATAAATAAATAAAGAATTAATATATTATCAAAATTTGAAGTATTCTGAAGCATTTGAAAACATGAGATTATGTATAAATGGTATAAATACAAAACAAGTGCATATATAAATTTAGAGAACTATACACAAATCTATTACCCGTTATATTAAATGGCATGCAGAATTGAATAAACAGGAAAAATAATCTGCTTAAAGTATTGTTTTTGTTGTTCCGAACAACTCTAATAATATCTTTACATATTTGTAATATAAATTATGATTATATTCTTTTAAATATTATAATGATAAATGATAAAATATCATATTAGGACGACATAATTATTTACTTAAGAAAAAATATTAAAAATTTTATTTGCCTTATATTTTTTATGTTTTTATCATTTTTTTTTGTAATGATATTACATAAAAATGCGTTTCAATAAATATCATGTAAGAAATTTGTTAATAATTTCAACTTACACGATAAATATGATTTGACATTACCACGACGTCAGTTTTAATTGCTTCTGAAATGTCTGAATTTGCCGTAGAAGTCCGGCTAAACGAAGAGAAGTAGGTTCTCTTGTGATAATATTATTTCCTCTTTTATGGAAAGGCCTTTGCTGAAAACTCAGTCCATTAGATTTAGTTGAAGTAAATGGTACAGCTGCATATAATTTATCTGATCCCAATGGAATTTCACTTGATATACAAAAATAACTATTCTTTTTTTGTAATAAATTCATTTGATGTTTTAATGCCATTACCTAGGATAAAAAAAAAACATCAAAACAGTTTTAATAGATGTTTACATTATACAACTTTACAAAACATTACATACATACAACTTTATTAAACATTATAAACAACATAACAAAACATCATGATTCAATTTAAATTAAATTAAAATATAGAAAATTAGTTTACCTCTTTATATAAATTAACAACAGCATTTATCTCATCTTCTTTAGTACTTAACTCCTTTTCTAAATGTAACATTTCTTCTTCTAAATCTTTATCACTATATTTTTTTGCTTTTGTTTGTAATCTTTCATACTTCCTATAATTGGGTAAAAAATATTAAATTAATATAGATTACAAAGTTTTACTCTAACATTAATTAACTTACATGTTCATTTCTTCAAATTGATCATGAAGATTAATAAGAACTTCTTTTATTCCTTTTGAGTCTTGAGAATGATTAGCTGTTGAGGTACTGGAAATGTGTTTGTCACATATACGTTCCTGTAATTCGTTTTAGATTAATATTCTCTAACAACCTATTAATCTATATAATTTTACCTGATATAGTTTAGATTGCATTTCTGAAGTTCCCATCTTTGTTTTTACATTTTGTTGAGAAGTAAATAATTTCAACATTTTATTATCTGTTGTATGTAATATTTGTGTTGTATTAAATGTATTTAATTGATTTTCTGATTTAGTATCCTACAAGTAAAAACTAGATTTTTATATTTTAAAATAAAACATATGCATTTAATCATATTAGTTTTTATATTTCCCATCGATCACACCTTTTTTTTTATGAAAATTTTCAAACTTATTTATATTGCCATTAATTCTTTCTTACAGATTTTGATATTGTTCAAGACTTGATTCTAAATTCACATTTAAACTACTTACTCCTTTCCTGTTATATTTTAAAAACATATTTCCATTCTCTATTAAGTGTCCACCTTTACTCATAAATAAATTTTCTTTCTGCATATGTGTATTATTCATTTGAGAGTGCATATGAGACAATTTACTCTGTTGATCATTTATTTGTTCTATGAGGATAGATGCAGGTTTCATACCTCTACTAATTTTACGAATAAGAAGAGGAGTAATTCCAGTTGCAGCAGATTGTCTCGTTTTCATTATACTTAAAACCTTTTAAATAGTGAAAAGTTGTAATAATTAATATGCTTTGTTTTCATATTTAATAACATACTTGTTGTATATTTAAACCTAAATTATGACTGGGGGATACAGAAGTACCCACTACAAAGGGTATATTTTGAAAGTTAAATCTACCGAAATACGAACGATTTGCTCTTTTTAATTTTGAAGCTAAAGTAGGCATTTCATAATTGTGAGTAATTATTGGATCACAATATGATGCTTGTATAATTGCATGTTGACATTGATGTGAATTATATTTTTCCATAGTACATAAAGGGGTGGTTGAAGATTCCAAATTATAATTTAAATCATTAGTAATTGTACCTATACCTCTAAAAATAAAAATAAATGTTATACTTTTAGTATTATCATGTCTACATATAATAATCATTAATATAAATTCTTACTCTGTTTTCTGTTCAGTTTGGTAATGCATCTGAGAGCAATTTTGTGAACTATTTACATTAATATCACAAACATTTTGATAGTTTTTATCTTCGCATTTCGGTTTTACAGGCAAGTTTTGTTGTTTATTTATAGCTGAAGATGTTAATATGTTTATATAGTTCATATGATGTTCAAGCTTTGAATGTTTACTAGGAATAGCTGAAGTGCTACCAGTCTTTGCTGCAGTATTATGATAAATTTCTACTACTTCATTGGATGTTTGTTGAGACTTGAAATTATGGCGATTATTTACACTATCTAAAATATACATAAAAATCTATATAAAGTTCTTAAATGGATATTTTTATTTAATACTTTTTTGTTTTCGTTTTTTCGTATCCCTTTTTCCCAAGAAAGTAGTATCCCTTGTGGTTACAGTACTTCTTGAATTAGAACAATGTATTTTTTTTCTTCGTTTTTTAATTTTTAATGAAACAATGTCATCAAGCTTGCACAGAGAACCTTTCTTGCTTGATAATGCTGAAGAAATTGCTTTTTCTTTTTTCTCACATTTTGTACAAATTTTATTCTTATCTATAGACTCATCTTTTACATTACCAGGAACATCATGTTTAATATCATCTTTTACAGAAGGTGGTTCTTGAAATAAATACCCATTTTGATTATTCAGAATTAATTGTTCAAAAGATTCATTTGGGCTTTCAATATTTTCTATTAATTCTGTAGAATATTCTGCTAAATGCTTTTCATGTGGTAGTTGCCAGTTTTGACTGTGTTCTTCACATTGCTAATAAGATTTTTATAAATATAATTATGAAGGACAATTTCCTTTAAAGTGTGCATCAAATATATTCATGACTTAAATATGATACATACTACGATGTTCTTTTTCTGAATTTGTAACAATGATTTTGATCGAGCGTCTGTATTCTGTAGAATATCATAAGCTCGAGGGATAATTGAAGATAATTCAATTTCTGTTCCTTCATCTTTATTTAAGTTTGTTTGTTTTTCTTTTTCTTTATGTGATACAATAATTTTTGATAAAATATTTGATAAGTTTGAAGTTGTAGAAGGTTCATTCTTATGAATTATATTATCTGTAACATAAAATACATTTGAATCTATTTTTTTATAATTTACAATAGTTATAATAATAAAATGTAAAGTAATAAAAAACATCAAATATTTCGTTCTTCAAACTAACATTGGATATCAGAATACTCTTCCAAAGAATTATTACTAGGAATTATAATTTCATTATTATTGGAAACCTTAATTTTAGAATCTTGCCAATTTGGACAAAATAAAGTTTTTTTTGGTTCTTGTATTTTTGGCATATCATGATACAACATCTTCATATATTTCATATGAGACTTCAAAGAATCACACCTTTCTTTTGTAGAATTTAACCACTGTTTTACATTTTTCATATCTAAATGAAATAAAAATTAACATAATGAGATTTACTATGAACATAAATATTTACTATTAGTGTAAAACATAATATAAATTACTTAGGTGTATCTAAACATATATTTAAAACTTTTTTCTACATTAATTATAATAATAGAATATCAGAAAATAATAAATATATAATTACCAGCACAATATTTTTTCTTGTTATTAATATCCATATTGTTTTTGATTAATTAATGTACATAGTTTAATTATCAAATAATCATCATAAATAAGGTCAATAATAAAAATTAAAATTTTTAACGAATAAAAGAAATTTGTAATAGTATAAAACTAAAAGAAATCTACAAAAATTCGAGATATAAGAACTCACAGGTTAGACTTTTACCGATTATCGATTACATTTTTACATAAGTCTCTTTTGTTTCCGATATGTTCTTCTTTCAGTAAAACAAAATCATTAACAAGAAATTTTGATTCTTGTTAAAAACATGGAAAATATTTAAATTTCATATATTTAATACAATATCGACTTACATTCTCACACAATTTAGAAATTACATTTCATTATTGTCATATTGTTGAATCCTAATTACAAATATTAATTATTATCAACATATTTAATTCTTAGAAAAAATTTTATATTCGCTTTATTTTAGAAGTTAATCATAAATTAGTATTAAGCAAGAATTAAATTTATATTTAATTAAATAGAATGCAATACATAAATTTGAAATAATAAAGGACACTCATATACTTAAACATATAATTTGTTATTATGATAATATTAATTATATAGTGAGTTATAGATATTTAAGTGTTGGTAACAAATTTAAAAATATATTTAAAGTAATTAACAAAGAGAAAAGTCTAGAACAAAAAAACACCTGATACATTTTTAAATCGAATTTTTGTAATACTGGCTGCAATATTGGACGTTAGGTGCGCTGATGTCTGTCTCTCAGTTGTATTTGAAGAAGACGTCGTTCGATCTACTTGTGAGTTGTAAATGGTGGACGGCCTGTCATCGTTGTTGCGTTAACATCAGGTAAGTAAATTTGTATTTCATTAATGTTTGATTTGTAATCATAACGTTAATGAAGAATAAGCACAATTTTTAGAAATAGCTGTTGGTAGTTCTGCAAAGAAAATCAATTCTAATGACAAGTATTATATTTTCTTGAAATCTTTTTTCATGACATTTCCGATTACGTAAAATTGTTGCACCAGTCGAAAATAGTCACCTGACTTAATAAATGTAGTTATCTTTTTCGTATATTTGAGAAAATGAATTTGATAACTTTAAAATTTGTTTTACATTTTTATTATTAATATAGCAGTACACATTAAAACATTTTTAATAATTAAATCAAGTAACCTATAATACAATTTTATACGAATGAAAAGCGATTTTTT